AAAAAATTTTTGTGGAGGGACTGAGTAGGCAGTCAGTCAGTCCCCCTACCCATTAAAAACAATCGATGTGAAAAATTAAATACACAGGATTTATGCGCTATTTATGCGCTACTACTTCCAAATATTTTCGATTTTTGTGCTGCAACCCTTAAGACACTTCTCTCTTGGAGCGAATAACCATATTCATCCATAAGTTATTTAAAATTGCAAAATTAAATACTGCGACTATGCAAAATAATTCTCTGATTTATGCGCTACTATTTAATAAATATTTAAAAATATTAATGACATATTTGTGATCACGTAAAAATATACAAAAAGATTTATAGTGTAAAATGTTATTACATTAATTAAATGGAGTACACGATATTTTATGCTTAATTATTTACTTATAACTATATTTATTATGTGAAAAAATTTTAACGAATTTTTAGCGGTTTTTATGTAAAATTTGACAATTTTTTAGTGATTTTTTAATATGAAATTGACAGTGAAACATATTTTGTGTTAACAATATTGCACGAAAATAAGGTAAATCTTCTTGGTGATCAAGATCAATATTAAGTCGGAAGTATTGTATTTTAGAGTGAGCTATAAAGGTAATTCATTCTGACGCTATATAACTTTATTTAAACATTTTTGGCATTAAACCTTCTTATCGGTGAAATTCCATTTAAGGGCATTCATTTCTGAAATATTCTGCCAAATTCATAGCAATCAGGCGTAAGTCGTTTTTCGGAAGTTTATCCCAATAATGTTTTCGGGACTTTGTGAGATTCGAATGACTCAGTATTGTTTACTTTACAAATATTAACGCAGAACAAAATATTTTATCTCAATGTAGATTGGGGACCTTAGGGGAAAAAATGTAAGAAATTACAAAATAATGTACCTGTTTTAATATAATAAATATCCAAAGTACACAAATTTAGTTCAAACGTTAGTTCGCAGCATATTGCTGGAATGTCGTGAAGACAGGTACATTTTTTTACAACAGTTGGCATTACTATTATAGTATCAATCATGGAAATATGGTGGAAATATATTAGTTGTACTCGTTTTTTAAACAAATTTTGTATTGTTCTGCGCACAACCAGATACGGCTATTTTAAGCATTTACATCGCGGTAACTTTGGAATAATATATTGCGGAAATCAAATATGTCATATCAAGTAAAAACGTGTATCGTTTTCGAAAAAAAATGATCCAGATATTCACATATTTTTTATTTCCGAAGGGAAGAACGCAATATATCCAGGTAGCAAGGTCGGGTGTCGTCTATTTAACGTCATTAATTAGTTTTATTTATGACGAATCTATACAGTTCCTGAGACGAAGTGAAAATTACAAAAATGAACAAATTTACTAGGTGTTGAAGTTATAAATATTAGATATAGTAAAAAGAAATCCATTATTTTTCCAATAGATGGCTTTAGTAATCTGTATCTTGTCTACGCGTGATTTTAGTAAATTCAATTACTTTTGTAATTTCCAACTCATTTTAAGAACCATAAGCTCCTTGATGTCTAAACATCGTAAAAATGATGCAAATTCTTATATTTCTTATCACTCATACAATGTCATAAACAGACATAAAAAATACATCATTATTTTCATGTTATTAACGGAATAAATGTATGACGCTATTAATTGATCACTAATAATGTTATTAGTACGTCGACAATTGGCCATTTATTCGACGTCATTAAGTATATAAAGACATTATAAATGACGTCATAAATAAATGAATTAATTGGTCAAAAAGACATCATTATTACGTCTTAAATAGGTCACATGTGTCAATAATTTAAAATGATTAACTATTGACGTTAAAATAACGACAGCTTACTACGGGAAATTTATTTTTCAGTAATCTTATAATTCCAAGTAATTTATTAAAGCCCACATATGCCATAGGTTATTGTTAAAAAAATTCGATATTTTTTTCGAAAATACTAGGTAATAAAAAATATCATAAAAAACATCTCCTATTTTCTTTTAGATTCAAATTGTTAACATGAGAAAACTTTTTTTTATTCAACCTATGAAATTTTTTATGGAGTCTTTTTTTAATCATAGAAGAAATCAATTCCAATGGGTACCCGTTGCTCAGAAGAACTCTTATATAATCTTGTTAAAATTCTTGGCATGGAATCTAGAATGAGATAAAAGAACTCTGTCCACCAGTCCCAAGATTACTCCTACTTTTTGACACAATGGATGTTGAGAAAAATAACTTAGATAGCGACCTAAGAAAAAGTGATCATGTCTTTTAATAGTTTAATAAATGATTAATTATACTGAAGAAGATTCAAATCGAAGATCAAAATGAAATTATATTCATGCGTGGACAACTAAATTTAAATTAAACATATCAAAACCAGGTCGGCTCTTACTGGCAATTTCTATTTATTGATTTATTTCGTCAAAGCCTATAATCTCTCAATTTGTTTACTCAAGTTTATGTTTTGGATCGGAATCTCATTGAAACAACTCCATTTCTTAGTTGTTCTGATATTACTTTCTTAGATTTTTTTTCCAAGAATATATCAAGGACATAGTTTTCTCTACCACTACAAACATGAAAATGTCTTACGCAATTGAATTGTGGTCGCTATTGGCACATTAGTCGCAGTGCATTGGCATAAAATAGAGTACCAATAGCTTTCTTATCATTAAAAGTGCTCTTTGAAAGTTTGGTAATATATAGAAGTTTGATAATTTTTCAAAGAAATTTTTTAGTTATATATATATAATACCATATATATATATATATATATATATATATATATATATACATACATATATATATCATTACGCGGAGTATAGATAAATTTGTATTTTAAAACGATGAAAAATAAAAACGTAAATATACATGTTTCTAACTTTTTTATTGTAAAAAGCAACTAAAAAATTTCTTTGAAAAATTATCAAACTTCTATATATTACCAAATTTTCAAAGAGCACTTTTAGTGATAAGAAAGCTATTGGTACTCTATTTATGCCAATGCGCTGCGACTAATAATAATGTGCCAATAGCGACCACAATTCAATTGTGTAAGACATTTTCATGTTTGTATAGTGGTAGAGAAAATTATGTCCTTGATATATTCTTGGAAAAAAAATCCAAGGAAGTAATATCAGAACAACTAAGAAATGGAGTTGTTTCAATGAGATCCCGATCCAAAACACAAACTTGAATAAACAAATTGAGAGATTATAGACTTTGACGAAATAAATCAATAAATAGAAATTGCCAGTAAGAGCCGACCTGGTTTTGATATGTTTAATTTTATTTAAATTTAATTGTCCACTCATGAATATAATTTAAATCGCGCTTTGTATTGACTTTACTATTTCCTCGTTCCCACTTTCCGCGTCGTCGAATAGACGCACGCCTTCAGATCTGTTGACTCCAGAAATTTAAGCGCTCGTAGGTAATTGGGACAAACGATTTATTCGCGTCGCAGGTCCACTGCGACGAAATCTCAAATTATCTCAGCGCCAGTTGATAGTACGAAAATCTCTCATTAGGCACACGTCTTTCTCCTTTTTACACTTGCTCGCCATCGCATCTTCCCAGCATCTTCGTAGCGCATCCCACTTCGCTCGCGCCTTCCAGTTTGCTTCACTCTTCTCGTTCAGGATAAGGGATGAATAATGCACTCCCCAACCTCTGAGCAAACCTCCATGCAACCTGAATGACAAATCAGTTTGCCGTCCGAGCCAGGTCACGAATCGACGTTAGTTCTCGCCCCAGCTTCCAACACTATCGTCTTTTCCTCAAAGAGCCAGAATTTTTGCGGGACATTTCTCGCTCTCGCATGAATCCCAATGGCACGCCAACATTCGTCAACGTTCGTAATGTATCCGGGTTACCACCGATACTGCGAAATTCTTTTAGCTCCACAACCGAAACAGAAAAATTTCCTATCGTAAACAATAAATCGATATAAGTGCAATGTAACTTCTAGAACAAAATTTCTGCAGTAAAATTTTTATATTCAGCATCAAACGATAATTTATTAATACTTGCTGAAAACTGATGGAACTAAACACAAAAGAATCTATAATTTCTTTCTCTTTCTCTCTCTCTCTCTCTCTCTCTCTCTCTCTCTCTCTCTCTCTCTCACACACACACACACACACACACACACGTACGCGCGCGCGTACACATATACATAGGCAAATCAATAAATACCTGTGTTTGAAGACAGGCGACGTTGCTGATGCAAGTTAGCATTACCATCATATACTATCATCTTTCAAACGACGCCATACAAAATTTCAGAGTGATTCATTCAATATTTTGCATGATAACTTGAGACTGAAAAAGCTGTCGGCCCGATTGCTCATAATGCACCGGCTCCTCCGCAGTCGTCACAGCCAAATTGGTCGAATTGCGCTACGAATTGCTGCCGTACTCTCCGGATTTAGCCTCCTGTAACTTCTTCTTGTTTCCAAACTTGAAAAAATGGCTTCGGTAGAAAGAAATTCACGAATAAGAAGATCATCGCCGAAACAGAGGCCTATTTTGCAGGGTTCGACAAATCGTATTTTTCTGAAGGGTTAAAAAAATGGCAGAAGCGTTGGGAAAAGTGTATCCTCCTAAAAGGGGATTACGTTGAAAAATAAAAAAAATTTTTGTGAAAAGCATACGTCTTCACTGACACGGGTACTTATTGATTTGTCCTCGTATATATAAAAGCAACTCCTATGTGAAACAATTTTTTTAATTCACGTAAGGATAATAATTTTGATTTATCAATTTCGATTTTGCTTAAAATATTACATTTTTAATTGCCACTATCATCTTCTTCTTTCTTTTATCAATGACAAGTTACAAAATAAAAAAACAGAAACGAACATATTTTTAACGATTCTTTAAAGCAAGATTGTTTGTTTCTGACAATGTGTTAGGAAATAATAACGACAAGCACGGCTAAAATCTATTATATGGAAGACGTGTTTCATTAATCGAGCGTGGATTTCTGTTGCAGAAGGTTGGTTGCGACCTTCGAGTTGGTAGTAACAAGAACACAGATGCGTGTGGCGTGTGCGGAGGGAATGGATCAAGCTGCCAATCGCGGTACTCCTGGAGTTTGGAATCGATATCCGCCTGTTCCAAGTCCTGCGGTGGAGGTTAGTAATTATTGAATTAATTTAGTCATATTTCCCTACGCAAACAATTACACGAACAAAGTAGCTCAATGTTATGAGAAAATTTATCGATCGTCAAAGCATTATCGTCTTCTGTCCACATTTATTTGGATTATATTACGTAAAAATACTTATAATTCTCATAACGCCAATTCGGAGAAGATAATATTTTGTATACTGAGAGAAATGTATTTGATATTTATTACTATAATTGGTAAAATAATTATAGTTAGGAAATTAATCTCTTTTATTGCTGTTATTTATTTAATATTATCAATATTATATATTTAGTTCTACCAAAAAATATGTAGTTAATAAAAAGTGATTATAAGTTATAATTAAATTATAGTAATTACAATAATTTCTTTATTTCAATACTTTTGAGATTTTGCCTATATTATATGCAGTGTTTTAAACGTATATAACGTAACTGTTTAAAAAACTGGCGTGTCGTTGAGTAAGAAGTTAACGAGTGAAATTCACGAGCATCGCGGCATTATTTGCATGAACGTTCGCCATTAAATTGGAAGGCTAATTTGCCGGTCACGTTTTTGCACTAATAGGTTTCAAGATAGGGATGGCGGTGTGCAAATCGGCCGACGAGAGCGGCAGACCTTCGGTGAAGTCCTTAATGCCGTGCAACACGCACCCCTGCACAACAAAGTGAGTATGTTCAGACAGACTGAACTATCTACAGTAGAACTGCATGCACGTTCTACGTCAAGGGATGTCAGGCCACTCGCGTATACAACTGAGAAGTAGATATTATAGAACTTCATCCCGCGAATTGTACGCGCGATTTCGCCCATCAAATAATAAAATATCCACTCCAAGAATATATAAAATGTTACTTTCACCCTATCTCGCATTAGTCGAATAAATCGGATTTCTTATACGAGCGAGCTTATATCTCAAAATTTTCAAGGAAGTGAACGCAAGAAGCGAACGGAAAATTAGGGACTAGGTACGAGCGATTTTTATTCTTACAACAATATTTCTCTTCTGTCTCGCGAAAAGGTTGCGAGGCAACAATTTAAAGCCAGTTCTCGCGATGGGAATCGTCCAACAAACGACGAAATACTCCAGCGTCGACGGGACTCGAACAAAAACTCGCGCAAACTATTCTCTCTGGATCCAACGGATACGCCAAGAAGTCGAATAGTGTTGAAAGTTTACCGTTCAGTATATGGAATCTTTTCTTTGTGTTTGAATTCACAGCTCGATGTTCACGGGGCAATTGGCGATCCTTGCCGATTGTCTTCGTTATTGTTCCGTGAATGATCAAGGATTGCTTTTGGTTGGGACTAAAAGTAAAGCTCGTATCGGACTAACATTGAAGATTAAAATTATCGATTAACCGTCAAGAATCCGAAGACTGTCAAATTGTGATTGCGATTGATAGTACATTGCAATTGTTATTACATGGTGTTTAATTTAAAAAATGTCGAATAAAATAATAACATGTGTAAATATAAGGAAAAGAAATATGAAAAAGGAACCATTGCTCTCTTACTTTTAATAATTTCTGAGAAGTATATAGAAATAATCATCATATAGAAGAAGTGCTTACCTTTTAAAGAAGAGTGGAATAACACTTCATAAAAAATATTTCAACAATGAACTTTAACCTAGTTGATATCAACTAAAAGTAGCATAATATCCATATTATAATGTTTGCTCAATAATGTAACTGTTATGTCACATCATGTGTTATATTATATGATATTGTTGAGTACAAAATTAATAGATGTTACATTATTTTAGTAGATGTTGACTGAGACTATGCAGTCTCAATACAATCTTAATTTTCAACATGTAATCTGATACAGGCTTAATAGAGAATGTTATTTTCTTTTAATGTTTATGGACCGACGTTCCTATTTGAGGTCACCCCTTTTATTTTATAAATTACTCGCTCAATTTTTATAAAATTGGGCTATGGAATAATCTAATGCTTTATTTGAATCTGAAATCAAAAATGAAAAATTCGAAATAGTAGATTTAATATGGCGAACAGAATTTTAAAAAAATTTGGTTATCATAAAATTCGATTTTAGAGAGTTTTTAATTAATTAGTAATATTAAATTTTCAGTTTTGCTTTATTTGAAGCTCATCAATATTACATAAACAATTAGTAAGTTATACTTATTTCCAAACTAACTTTTAAACTATGCAGATTATGAATACTATAAGAGTAGATCCTTTTTCATTTTTTTGAAATTCAATAGGGAATGAAATTTTTAGGAATTTAAATTCATAGATATCAAAAACCTAAAACCGAGTTTCATAATGTAATCAGATTTTTCTAAATTCGAATTTTAGAATTCTGAGATCAAAATTTAATTCATCCTGAAAAACCTAAAAAACAAGGCCTTTTATAGTTATTTTGTTAGAAAACTCCAATCTTTTTATAATGTTAACATTGCAATGATTATATTGCAAAATTTTCACAACAAGAAATAAGTGACTAGAAATCATACTATAATAAGCGGCAGACTTGCGTTATCTTTTTGAAATTTAATATTTTTTGGAATTTGAATTCAAAGATATCAAAAATCTAAAACCGAGTTTCATAATATAATCAGATTTTTTTAAATTTGAATTTTAGAATTTTGAGATCAAAATTTAATTCAACCTGAAACAACAAGAAATGAGTGACTAGAAATCGTACTGTAATAAGCGGCAGACTCACGTTATAAAATTGCATTTGAGAGACGTATTACCTCATTTCGTTGAGCGGACAGTTTTCGCGATGTAATACATCTCACTCAATCTATCTCACGTCATTCGATTAATCGATTGGCGAAAACGTAAGAAAATTGTCGGAATACGCGTGTCTGCGACAGTATTGCTAATCAGTATCGGTTCGTATCATTTAACGTATCGTTTATCAAGCATCAGAAATGGCGATATCGCGGATTTGCGATTACGAATCGTTGATAAATTAGCAGCTATATCGATCGCTCAACGAATCGGTCAGTAGCTAATTGGAGCGGCCGCGAGTTTAGTTTGAATTCAGTTCGACTAAACGACTCACCTTTCCCTCCCGAGAGAGAAACAGGACTCCGACTGCCGCATCGTGAAAAGCCGCAACCGCACTTTGAGGTAGCAATCCGGAAGTTATGATTTAATCGCACATTATGACTTATCCCTTAGTTATTCACCACTATAGCTTAAGCGATCTCTACATCCGGAAGTCATGAATGGTTATCAAAATTGAACTATCTAACCTAGTTTGCATTTAATTGGAAAATGGCGCCACAGATTTCGTATACCAAAAAAATGTATGAGTATTACACAAAAATGTATTATGGTATTTTTAATAATCACGTAATATAATTAATTTACTTATGATTAAAACTTTTACGTAAATAGAAATAAAGTAACGATAATAGTAATTAGTGACATCGTTACCATTACCCCAAAAATTTAACTGCGTTACCATGAATGTTATTCAGAAGAAAATGTAACGTCGTTACTCAAACGTTATCAAAAAAAAGTAATTTGTAACGGTAATGACGTTACAAGTAACACGTTACTTGCCAATCCTGATGACAGTGATATAAAATTTAGTATATTTCTTATATTATCTTATATTATTCTACCTTACTCAATGCATACATCTCTCTTTATGTAACATATTGCAACGTTATTGTAAAAATTATTTGCTTTGATGCAGTCAACAGTTCAATATTATTTTACGAATCACGTAAATAATTGTAGCTGTGAAGTTAATTAAATATATATTAACTTTAATAATGATAATACAAGAGCAATCAGCCATACGTACACAAATACAATATATTTAAGGGAATCCTAAGGGAATCCTAAAGCCGTCTGTATTACCAACATAAATCGTAATTTTTGCTTTTTAATAATTACTTTTCTCCTCTTTTACAGATTTGAAAATCTTTTTCCAAAATTAAAGTACACGCATTAATATATGTCTGTGAGATGAAGTTTATGCTGAGAATGACAATTTTTTCTTAAGATTCCAATTTCGAAATTTTTTGTCGTTCTCAGCACAAACTCTACCTCACAAACACGTATTAATATGTATACTTTAATCCTGGAAAAGGCTTTTTGAATCTGTAAAAGAGGGAAAAAGTAATTATTATACAAAAATTAGATTTTAGTCGGTAATACAAACAAAGCTTCCATATATACAATATAATATAATAATATAATAATAATTCACAATTTAAGCATGCAAGATCCAGCTTTGACCGTTATAACTTCAATTCTTTG